TCATACCTGTGTGTCATACGACGTTTTTCTCTCTCGTATGACATACCAGTATGATAGTCTGCACCCCACTTTAGTGTAATTAAAGTTACATCCTTCTTTTCGTATATAGTAACTTTCAAAACAAAATATTACTATACTATAGTTTATTATTACATTATAGTAAATTAGATTATTTTATATTTATTTCCAAATTTCTATGTGGATAAGCTACCAGACATTAATGCAATTAAATCATACTGGTCGTCATCCAAAAATGTTCTAGAATGCAAGGAAGCTATACCCTGCAACCGCAGTCTTTGTATGTACTGAATTTCTGGTCATAAAGGCATAAAGGGAAATGAGACAGTTGATGCTATTGCTAAAAATGGTACAAAACTTTTAGAGGAACAAACGAGCGAAGTACTCAGACCTTTGAAACAAATACATAAACTTCTAGAAGAGCACATGACAAGGAGAGCAAAGGAAAGATGGCGAAACTTGTACACTGTATAGTCATGTGGGTTTATAATACGTCTTTCGGAATCCTGCTTGGTATTAGCACAATTAATTTTTATTCTCAATTATATGCTTTTATGGTGAATTGTGGAAAATTTTTGCCATGGCATTAAGGAACGATATATATCCATTGCTTGACGCAATTGTTTGGTCACTTTTCTTGTATAATGGGAATATTATAATTTACGGAATAAGTTTTGCGCACAGCTATTTGATTTAAATTCTATATTTTTATTAAATCCTTTCTCTTAAATCATTATTTTTTTAATTGATAATAACTATTTATGATATCCCTTATCTCGAAAAGTATAAATTGAATTTTATATATCGATTATTGTTGATCGAATTTATAATGATCTTTATATCAGCTTCATTAAGTGATACAGTGAAAAAATTTAAAGATTTCTGTTAATTTTCTAAGAATATTAATGACAATCTTTTCGGCATTATCACATAACCATTTTGGCTCCTCTTTTAAGAATTAATAATAACGCTTATTATTAATAACCAAATATAACAATTAACGATCTCATTTACAGTTCTTAATTAAAAATTATTTAAAAATGACTTCAAGAGTGATCTAAATATTTGTGATAATAATATTAATTTCTTATTATTTCGTATTAATCACTAAAAAATAAGATTGACATTTTTTTGGGTCAGTTTGTTTTGAAAATAAGCAACAACAACTATTTAAAAACACTAAACGTACAATTTTACCTACATATTTCCATTTACGAGGGTTGACAAATAAATACAAAATATTTGTAAAAATCCTGGTATTATTTTTAACTAACAAAGTTATACATTAACATACATATTGTCCCATTTTATATAATTTAAAAATATTTAATATGTAGAGCTAGTTATTTGATATTATTTTTTAAGGCTGAATAAATTTCAGTACAATACGCTAAACTAAAACATTAATTATAATCTATAAAGCATGTAACGTCGAAGAATATGTTTTGTTAGAACAAAGAAAAAAAAGAACCGTTAAACAAGTACTCATAACAAAACTCTTACTACACTAGTGAGAGCAGTTACTACACAATTGAAAACAGTTTGTTGTATGAAACTGTTTCGATCGGTTTATTTTTTGTGAAAAATTTTTGTTAATGATTTTGGACTTAACGTTAAAAACTATTAAAGTAATTAATTAAATAAATTATTT